GTGGCAGTATCCCATCTCCAGCCAAGATGAGCCACCCGTTCCAGGAAAACACCCGCAGGTCCTGGGGCGCGGGACCCATTCCGATCCAAGAGGGACGCCAAAAGCGGGACAAAGGTGTCACGCACAGCATGGGCCCGCAGGTCGCGAAAAGTGCTCCAAATCGCAAAGAAGTGTGGATCAGCAAGCGGGAATTCCACCATGCCCAGGTAGAGCATCGGATTCAGGCCGGGGCGGTCCAGTCGCAGGCCCTGCATAGCACAGGAACGGAGGGCAGCAAAGCGTGCAAGGCCCAGGCACACCCCCGAGACACCATGAAGAGCCGCCGGCCAGGCCGAGACCTTGAGGGCCTTGATCTTCTGGTTGCGAGGCGCACAAGAAGCGGCCAGCCTTGGCCACAGCTCATGCATCGCTTCAAGACGGTTCTGTACCGTAGCATTGGTGCAACGACGATTGAAGCTAACATGGCCACCCACATTCCGCACAGAGGACTCAACGGGTAATCCCTGGCGACGGAGTTGACGGCGGTGGCCAGCTTGGGTCGCCCAAAAGACGGTTTTGCGAGGATCCATCGTCAGATCCCAGCCACGCACAAACTCATTGACCATCCGGACAGCCAACTGGACACGCTCAGGCGAGTGTTCACGCACTTGCCAATCGTCCACAAAAGAGGTAAGGCAATGCCGAAGATCAGCTTTCGCAACATGCCAATGGAGGGCCAGGTCAACGAGTGCCATCGCAACACAAGACATGGCGCAGCCTTCGGGGAAGCCAGTCACGGAAAGGATGGGAGGGCCTGTTGCACCACGGACCTTAAACCGCCGGGCAATGCGCGTGACCGCGCCACTCCACGCACGGACCAGAGCTGGCGGGAAGCCAAGCTTCAGTGCCAGGGCAAAGACAGGTGTGCGTGGCAACGTGTTAAAGGCTTTGGATAAGTCAAACAGCGCGCCCACCAGAGGCCGGCCAAGGTCATGGGCCTCTTCCAGGGCAACTTGAAGCTCATACCACACCCC